CCGCCCCGAACAACCACTTAAAAAACACGTACGACCACAAGTTCAATGGAGAATCAAAATTAAATATAAAGAAGGAGTGAATAAATCTCTGAAATGCATAGGACGAAAACATTAAAGACAGTAAATGTACATCAACAGCCACCGCTGGATCTCAGTCTGATAAAAAACAAACAAAAAACAAGAAGATATTGAAATAAAAGAATTTCATCGAGTTTAAGTTCTTTCAAAGCAGAAGCCAACGGAGTCATTTTTTGTGCAACTCAAATCATATTTTCACAAGTTACTGTTTAACCCTGCTAAAATTTATATTATTTGTATGTAAATTAAGCACATTTAACCCCAAATTCTCATTACTGTAATGCAGCAAGAATAAAAAATTATTAAACAAAAAATTATAAAAACATTATAAAATGTTTTCTGCATTACATTAATGATGCAAAATGATGCAATGCAAAAAATTTTTTTTAAATTATTGCCTGTTAAAAATCTTTTTCTTTTGATTTTGCAGTGAGATGAATCTCTCAGAATCTCATCACTGCATCTGTATCTGCAGATCAGCACTGCAGCGGAGCGAAAACTGAGACAAGACAAGCGTCAGCGCTTGAGAGATGAAGTGGAGAAAAACACTTTCTACATCTGCAGACATGGAGTGACCTAAGAACATAAAACTGCGTATGCTTGCCCTAACCATCGCTGTACTATGGTATTGCCACAGTGCTTTTTTTTTTTTTTTTTTTTTTGCATTATTTCAATATTGACAAAACTAAAAAAAAGGGGCACATTTCTTTTTTTTTTTGCAATTATTTTTATTACTATTATTTTTTGAAAAACAAACCAGAAACAATCAAAGAATTTGACGATCTCATTCCGAAGGACACTGATTACTAGAATAATCTCTGACCGGTTTAATGCTTCACCAAACACAGCACAGCTGCAGTCAGTGTGCAATGAAGAGGAAGGGAGGAGATAAGTCTGACGGGATGAAGTCTCGGACGTTCACCCTTCAGATATCCCAGTGTTTCACTAGGTTAGTAGTGTGAGAGCAGACGTTGCAGCGACACGACCGTAACTCACCAGCCCTGAATACAGAACCGGTTCAGCCTAAACCAGAACCTGGACCAATGGTTCTGTAATGGAGGAATATAGTCAGTCGACAGATCAGATTCAGCCAGTTTAGGGACTACAGGTGAAACTGATTTCAATAGTTAAACATCTGGAGTGAATTCAGAAATGTGCATTTAATTAAAACCGAATTTTCAAAGTTTTCTATTTAAACTGCATTAAACAGCATTAAACTCAAGTTCAAGTTTATCCAGTCAATGGGAGGTCATAGATGAATTTAGTCATAGTGAATTCAGAATTTCTGTGCATTGAATTTTCAAACTGAATTTTCAATTTAGACAAAATTTAACTTGACACTGACTTAAACAGCATTAATTTGAGCTGAGTTGAAACCTGGAGTTAATTTTAAACTAAATTTAAATTATGTATTCAATCTAATTTCGCAATCTGAATTTGAATTCTGCATTCAATTTGAAACTGAACCCAACATCATTCATCTTATTATGTTCATGGTCATCTAGCCAATAGCCAAAAGTCATAGTTGAAAAATTTGGAGTGAATTTGATGTAAATACAATTTTAAACTGAATTTTCAAACTTCAAATGTTCAATTTAAACTGAACTGAACTTGAAATCAACCCTATCAGCATTAATCAGATTTTGATTTAGGCACATTTGAATTTGGCGTTCAATTTGATTTGTGAATTGAATTCGAATTATGGATTCACTTTGATTTGTGATATGAATTTGAAATATATTTGTGATTTGAATTTGAATGGAATTTGAATTGTGCATTCAGTTTGAAACTGAAACTCAAGATTGAGCCTAACAGCATTAATCTGACCATGTTCTTGTTCGTCCAGCCAATGCAAGGTTAGAGTTGAAAAATCTGCAGTGAATTGAAAACAAAATTTGAATTATGTGTGAATTATGAGTTTGATTTGTGATTTGAATTTGAATAGAATCTCAATTGTGCATTCAATTTGAAACTGAATTTTGTCTAGCCAATGGGAATGCATAGTTGAAAAATCTGGAGTGAATTCAGAACTATGGATTGAATTTGACATGATCGACTTCATACTTGAACTTGAAACTGACCCCAACAGCATTAAACTACTGTTCAGCCAATGGGAGCTCATAATTGAAATATCTGTAGTGAATTTAAAACTAAATTTTAATTATGCGTTCAATTTGTATTGAATCTCAATCTTTTGAACCAAATTGAATCGAATCTTTTGTGCATTCAGTTTGAAATTGCATCTTCAACTATTTGAAACTGACAAAGTTAATCTTCGTCAAGCCAATGGGAGGTGATGTTTGATTGACATGTAAACTAGCCAATAGGAAGCATGATGTTAATGAGCGGTGGGTCATTAACCGGGTTGGTTAGGCTGGGCTGGGCTGGTGTCTCCTGCATCATCTGCAGATAAGGAGGAGGTACGGGGAGGTGAGTTATCCTCACACCATCAGTTGTGAATCTGCTCGAAGAACTTGTATGTTGGGTTTTCATAGCCATTCTGCTGCATCTTAGACAGGTGACGTTCCTCCGGGGTCACAGCAGCGTCCACCTGAGGGTCAAAATCATTCGGATTTCAAATGAATCACTATATCGGCTCATTTGATTCAAGTTCATCCTTCATGAGACAAATCATGATGAATGAACAAACACACACACGAGTGCACTCACTGACCTCAATGATTCCATGGTGGATGGACGTGTACTGCTTCTTCCTCAGCATCACCAGGGTGATGACGATGATGGTTGCTATGACAACACCTCCGACCATCAGGCCAATAATAGCTCCCTTATTGGAGCTGACGTCCTCCGCGAAGAAAACCTGAACACCAGAAACAAAAGACAAACATGAAATTACAGTCACACAGGCTGAACTCTCATCAGGGATGTGTTGCCATGACAACGGCATCATGTAATACAACGGGCAACACGGGTACAGCCGTGGAAGTGTATGCATGCCGAAACATAAATATTTATTTTTAATTAAGTTCATTTTAAGTGGGTGTATGAAGTGTTTCTATGTGTAGGTACCAGTTTCTGATGGTAAACTTCACTGTGTCTTTCTTCAGCTTCCATCTGCAACTCAGGAACATCATCAGGCTTCAGTCCAGACACTGAACAACAACCACAGAGACAGATATTAAATATCGGTTCGGACACATTTTAGTGACGATGCAATCGAGCTTGTGCAGCTGGAATTGACTGTTTACATGTACATCGATTTCTGTTTGAGCTCTATATTCAGGTTGCAGCCATATTCTGAATATGATGTTTATGTCAGCCAATCTACACATGCATATTTTTTGCTGGGGAGATAATTTAATTTATTACTACTTTACACAAACTTTTAACTGGGACTCTTTCACAACGACCATCAAAAATGCTCATCAACAACAACACCAAATGAGTTTCTTGTGGTCTGTATAATAATCAGAATACTGTCAAATCAGATTAATCTTGATGAACATTGATGTTCTTGTTTTTGTAATTTTTTTACGTTTATATAGTTTTTATTCATTTTTATTTTAGTTTTAGGTTTTTAAAGAATCAAATTAAACTACATTAAAATGAGAAATGTTGCTTTGGCAACAAGCTGAATTATTATTATTTTTTAAATATTTATTTTCAGTTATAATTTATTTCATTTAAAGTAATGGAAATGTTTATGGTTTTAGTTTTATTGAACTATAATACCCCAGAATGCATATCTGATCACATGTACCTGGTCGTGTCGGCAGGCCTCGGTCTGGAATGGGTCGCGCATCGACCGGCTCAACTGCAGAGAGACACGAGACATCAGCTACTGATTCACTTCATATTCACATCAAAACCATATCAACTAGATTATACACTGAAGGAAGGTGTCTGCTAACTTCATATGCAAAATGACTGATAAGGAAGAGAAGACACGAAACACTTGCACTTTTAACACTCAGTGTTTTGTTCAGTCACAGTATTGTTATTGCCATGTAAAACTGAAACTAATTCCTTTTTGGTTAATTAAAAAACAATACTTTAATATCCAGTGTTTTATTCAGTAACTGTTGTTATTTTAACTAAAACTATAATTTTTTAATGGAAATAAAACTGAAAAATAATACTTTAATACTCAGTGTTTTATATAGAAACATATTTTATTAATTAAAGCTCTTAATGTTTTTAAATTGAAATAAAACCTAAATAAATAATTAAAAAATAATAAAAACAAAGACACTGTTATTATTTTTTTAAGTAAAACTATTTAATTTTTTTTATGGAAATAAACCTGAAAAATAACACTGTAATACTCAGTGTTTTATTCAGTAACTGCTGTTATTTTGTTAACTAAAACTATTAAAAATAGTTTTTGTTAATTGAAATAAACCTGAAATAAAATAAAATATAAAAATTCTAATATAAATGTAAATGATAATATAAATATAAAAATTAGATGAAAAACTTACAAAAGAAAAAAACTTGAATTAAAACAATACATTAAAGCTAAATAGAAATACCTAAAAAACTTCGAAAACTAGATATTTAGAAATAGCTAAAAAAAATACATAAAAATAAAAATAAGAACATAACGAAAAAAACAATATGAATAAATACTGTACAGTATTTAAATAATAGTAACAGTTCGAGTGACGAGTGCTTTAGTGTGCAGCATGTTAATGGAGTGCTGGTGATTTTCAGCAGGTCTGTGTTCCTGACGGCGGATGTCAGATCTGCTTCCATATGGCGCTCACTGCGCTGACCTGGCTCAGGCGCTCATGAGGCAGCCGAGGCTGCTGGGATACGTGTGTGTTTGTATGTGTGTATACCCTGGTTCTGTGTGTTGGGCTGGTTGAAGCTCCCGGGGTGTATGTGTGTGAGTGTGTGTGTTCCTGCTATTCCTGACAGTATAGGGACTTTTTTTTTTTTTGATCCCCATGAGGAAACAAGCTTATAAATCATACAGAATGAAGTTTTTTGGAAATTTAAATTAGCAGAAAGTTTTGTGTGAGGGGTATACAGTATAGGTACAGTATTATGTCTATGGAATTTCCCCATAAAACTTGGAGACCAGTATGTGTGTGTATATACCCTGGTTCTGTGTGTTGGGCTGGTTGAAGCTCTCGGGGTGGATGAAGCCGAATCCCTGCGTGTCTTCAACAGGCAGCAGGTCCAGGCTGCCGGTGCTGTCGGGCATCAGGGCATCATTACCGTAACTCACCCGCAAATCGCTCTGCAGGTTCGCCAGCTGTGCGGACATTTCCTGCTGCTCGCGCTGCAACAGCTCTGACACACACAGACATTCAACACAACATCAGAAAACAGGCCTCAATAATGCGTGGAAATAAACAATAATCACAACTTTGAATGTGTTATTATAGACATTTATCTAAACACCACAATAAAGACTTATTTTAATTATAATTTTTAATTTATTTTATTTTTATATATGAATTTGAGTTTTGTGTTTTCTTGTTATTTTATTATATATTATATAAATATAAATTATATTTATATTATATATAAAAAAATAACAACAACAATAATTAATAATAATAAACATTATTATTATTATAAGACTTCTCATTAGATTCAGTCTTACAGTAAAAGACTAACACAACAATTTTTATTTAAACCTGCATACAGTAAATATAGTACTACAAATACTTAAATGATATATAGGTAATTTACAGTTTAATATTTTAGTATTTTTCTCATTACAATAATGAGAACTAGGTTTTTCAGCAATTTAGTAGGAAAAGTGTAATGTTTTGTCAAAAAATACATTCTTTTTATTGCAATATTTTATATAATTATTTGTTATTCACAATAAATATATATATATATTTTTTTTTTTTTGTTATTTCAGTATCACTGAGTATCAGTTTTTATTTGTACACTTTTCATTAAATTAAAATTCTAGTAGATTTTTTTGTGTTTTTTTTGTCATTTTTAGTAGTTTTTATTTTTGATATATAGGTCTCATGCCAAGCATCTGGAGAGACTGGTGAGTATACAATTGAGGAAATGGATTGGGCTACCAAGATGCCTTAGCAGCATAGGGCTGTACAGCAATGGAGCTCTCTTTCTGCCTATTTCAAGCCTTGTGGAGGAGTACAAATGCGCCAAAACGAGGCTTGAGATGATGCTTAAAGAATCCCGCGATCCCTGTGTAAGAGATGCTGCTCCAACATTGGCGACAGGGAGGAAATGGAATCCAGTTACAGCAGTTGCTGATGCAAAGGCAGCCCTCAGACACCGGGATATTGTGGGGCAAAGGGAGGAAATGGAACCCAGTTACAGCAGTTGCTGATGCAAAGTCAGCCCTCAGACACCGGGATATTGTGGGGCAAGTCCAATATGGTAGAGGAGGACTTGGGTTGGGAATAATAACACCTAAATGGCAAAAGGCAACAGCAAAGGAACAGCGACACCTGGTGGTGGAGGAGTTATGCCGGCAGGAGGAAGCAACTAGATGCGTTAGAGCAGTCTCCCAAGCCCAACAAGGCCGCTGGATGAGGTGGGAAGGTATAGAACGGTGTAAAATCACTTGGAGTGAGCTGTGGAGCATGGAAACCAACAGGCTAAGTTTTATCATGAGAGCCACATATGATGTGCTGCCCTCTCCAACAAACTTGCAGGTATGGTGTGGACAAGACCCAGCCTGCCACCTGTGTGCAGCCCCGGCAAACCTCAGACATATCCTGGTGGGTTGTAAGACCAGCCTGACACAGGGAAGGTACACATGATGCCACAATCAAGTACTGAAGTGCTTGGCGGCAGCAATAGAGACCAAGAGAGTGTCAACAAACGCCATCCTCCAAAATGCCAAGAATACCTTACCAAAAACGCAGTCCTTTGTTAAGGAAGGGGAGAAAAAGCAGGCTAAGTGCCTGTCCCCTGACGCAGACCAGCTGAATATAGCTAGGGACTGGGAATGTGAGTCGACTTAATCCACAGACTCTTTCCCATTCGAAATTGCAGTCACCAATCTGTGCCCAGACCTGGATCTCTGGCCCAACTCCAGTAGGATCATCATAATAGTCGAACTGACAGTCCCTTGGGAATAGGCCATTAACGAGGCCTTTGAAAGGAAGAAGCTACGATATGCCAACTTGGCAGCTGAGGCAGAGGAGCGGGGCTGGACAGTGAAAGTATACCCGGTGGAAGTGGGCAGCAGGGGCTTTGTGGCTGGTTCCAGTATAAGGCTGCTGAAGGCAGACCCAGCAAAGGATAGTCAGGGAACTGGCCACTACCGCTCAAAGAAGCAGCCACTGGCTGTGAAGGGTGTCTTGTGATAAAGGGCCGAAACACCCAATGAGGCTGGGGTACACATCTAATGATGTGTTGCATTGGTGGAAACACCATACAAAGGTCATTGGCAAAATCACCTCAACAAAAGGCATCTTTTGCCTTTCGCTGTAAAAACAGCGAAATCAAGGTATTTCACTGAAATTATAAATAAGAACTGTCATAAGCCAAAAACTCTTTTTAACATTATCAATGCCACTATCAATCCTTCCATTTTCTCTTCTACAGAAGTGTCTTTGCTATCATGTGAAGATTTTCTGAAGCTTTTTTGTAAATAAGATACATGATATAAGAATGGGGATAAATCCTGTTCTGTCTGACCCTTCGACTCCCCCTAGTTGCACTGCTGTTTTAAGTCCTTTTACTCCTATTACCGAAAACTATTTTATATAATTAGTGGATAATCTTAAACCATCTGGCTCTCCAACTGATGTGATTCCTCCATATTTTCTTAAACAAGTTCTGGACGTGGTGGGTCCATATCTTTTGACTCTGATAAATCGCTGCTTAGAAACGGTTACTATTCCTGAGCTAATAAAACATGCAACTGTTCGTCCTCTGCTTAAAAAACAGGGCATGGATCCCTCCGTTTTAGCAAATTTTAGGCCCATTTCCAATTTGTCATTCATTACAAAAATTCTGGAGAAAACTGTTCTTGAACAATTGCAAACTTCTCTAGCTGATAATATGATCTTTGAGGTTTTTCAGTCTGGTTTCATAAAATATCACTCTACTGAGACTGCATTGTTGAAGGTTTTTAATGATATACTCTTAACATGTGACTCAGGCAACTACGTTGTTCTTGTGCTTTTAGATCTCACTACCGCATTTGATACTGTTGATCATGCTGTCCTTATTGATCGAATGGAACACTGTGCAGGTATTACAGGCAGTGCATTGGAGTGGTTTAAATCTTATCTTACCAATAGAACTTTTTCAGTTAAGATAGGAGATCGTACTTCTAGTAATGCTGTATTAACCTGTGGGGTTCCCCAAGGATCCATTTTGGCTCCCATACTTTTTTCTTTATATATGCTTCCACTTGGTTCCATTTTCAGAAAATATGGGCTGTCATTCCATTGTTATGCTGACGAAGTTTATCTGCCAATAAAACGGAATTCGGATGGACTGGATGCTCTCCTGGCCTGTTTGACAGATGTAAAGGCATGGTTGTCACTAAACTTTCTGAATTTCAATGAGGAAAACACAGAAATTATTGTTTTTAAACCATCAGATTCTTTGACTGCTCCCAATCCAAATCTTGGTGGGTTATCATCATGTGTTAAGCAATATGTGAAAAATTTGGGTGTGGTATTTGATGAACATCTGAAGTTTGATAGGCAGATAAATTCTGTGGTCAAATCATCCTTTTTTCAGTTGCGGCTTCTGTCTAAAGCGAAGACTTTTCTTTCTTTTAAAAACTTTGAGAACGTGATTCATGCTTTTATTACCTCTAGATTAGATTAGTGTAACTCACTTTATGCTGCGATTAGTCAAACAGCTTTATCCCGATTACAATTGGTTCAGAATGCGGCAGCTAGACTTTTGACCGGGATTCATAAACGGGATCATATTACTCCGGTTTTACAGTCTTTACACTCGCTGCCTGTGCGTTAGAGAGTAGATTTAAAATTTTTACTTATTGTCTATAAGTCACTAAATGGTATGGCTCCATCATATATCTCTGACTTATTGATTGAGCACAATAGGGCCTTTCGCACCGCGGGAAACTTTTCATAGTACCATAATTTTCCATGTCCATTATTGTGAAACCCGCGAGACACAACAAAAACACAGCTCCGATCACAGCGTCCTCCATCCTCCTGTTGTTAACGTTGCTCTTCTTTGTTTCCGTTGTTGAACGCCGCGCACAAATAACGTCGCTGTCTCAAAATCGTCCCAGTACTTTAGTACTGTACATTTAGTTCTGGAACTAAAGCGGTGCGAAAGGCCCTAATGTAACCAGATCTCTCTGGTCCTCTAACCAGAGACTTGTTTATCCCCAAGACGAGGCGGAAGTGCAGGGGTGATCGCGCTTTTGCTACAATTGCGCCAAGACTCTGGAATGATCTGTCCATTTTTATTAGAATGGCTTCATCTGTGGCTATTTTTAAGTCTAAATTAAAAACCCATCTGTTCGATAAGGCTTTTAACTCTGGTTGAAGCACTCTTTATCCTTGTCCTATGTTTTTGCTGCATGTTATGATGTTTTTCTTTTCCTTTTTCTCTCCTTGTTCGTGGTTTTACTGTTTTTATTTTTAATTTTTCATTGTGTTATTGCTGTTTTTAGTTATTCTGTTGTAAAGCACATTGGTTAACTCTGGTTGTAGTAAATAGTGCTATATAAATAAAATTGCCATTGCCATTGCCATCTTTCACCCAGGCTAAAGTTCACACAGAAACTGGGATCTGATAGACATCAGATAATGTGTCTCACTGGCAACATCCATGAAAGAGAAGTACACATCATGTGCAGCATTACATATCATCAAAACGTCAAGAATCCCCACCCAATGACTGCAGCGAAGAATTGTACCATCTTCATCTATCCATCTTACCATACTAGTCCTTTTTTGATTGTTCCCCAGTCACGCATAAAGCAATTGTAAATTCACGACTGATTATTGGGTATTGAGGCAAGTACCACAGACATGGATTAGGCCAGGATCCTGAATTCTTGCTGAACCAAATTCAGAGCATAACAATTGCTGCATCTCGCTGTGTTCTGCTCACAGTGAAGAGAATATGTTCTATGGTGCGGCTAAATGGTGCTGAATTTTGGGATTATAACACCTAGTCCTATTATGCAAACGTCTATATAGTTTTTATTTTATTTTACGATTTCAGTTTTAGTTTTAATAATTTTAGAACATCAAGTTAAACTAAATTAAAATGGGAAATGTTTTATATAATATATTTGATTTCAGTTAATGTTTATTTCAATTAATGAAAATGTTTTTTTTATTAGGTTTTAA